TAAACTAATAAACACACATATTGGATGCTGTAATATTAGAGTCCAATACATACAGTATTAAATTCTACGTCTCTTAGTATATTTTAATTCGGGCTACTGTTATTGTTTAGCTACATTTTTAATAGTTTCATATTTCTGCTTGCCAATAAGTGAGCAGAATTTTAGAATTAAAGCTGATAGGGAACGTGTTTGCATAAAGCTGTTTAAACCATAGAAGTTGTTTGATCTTTTTTTTGGCATACCATTCACACCACAGATTTAACCCATTAGCACATTGGAAGTTTTAAAGAAGAGACTGGACAAACATTTGTCTGAAGTGGTGTAGGGTTTCCTGCCTGGCCAGCGGGTTGGACTAGAAGATCTCCAAGGTCCCTTCCAACTCTGTTATTCTATTCTATTCTAAGTTCTCAGCATGGACAGTCTAAATCAGTGTTTCTCAACCTTGGCAACTTGAAGATGTCTGGACTTCAACTCCCAGAATTCCCCAGCCAGCGAATGCTGGCTGGGGAATTCTGGGAGTTGAGGTCCAGACATCTTCAAGTTGCCAAGGTTGAGAAACACTGTTGTTTTTTTTAATGGGAAGCCGCGCTTGCTTTTTCAAGCGGTTGTTTCCATGCGGATCAGCGCGACTCGGATCGGACCCGCCGCGTCTCCCTCCCGCCAGCCCCCTTGGAAGACGCCCCCTGGGATCGACCTCTCTACAGGTCCGGGTGTTAAAAGAAAAAAAAGAGAGAGACACACACAAAGCGGCGCGCCCTGCTTCGTCTCCAGTTGCAAATCCTCCGGGTTGCAAAGCTCGTGGCTTCCCCGGGGCTGAACAGTTGGCTGCGTAATTGGCTCTCTTGCAAACTCCGCTCCCTTCTCTCCGTAGGGAGGAGGCCAAGGGAGCCAAGCCCCTTCCTATGCCGCGAATCCAGCGGGGGAGAAGCCGGCTCTTCCCCTTCCTGCTGCTCCCGCTTGGGGTGTTGCCTCTGCCCCGTTCAACGTCGGGTGGCTCCTCCCAAGGGTTGCAAGAAGCCAACGGCATTTGGGTTGAAAAGAAGACTTGGCCTTTTGATTGAGTTGCCTTTTTAACGACCGGATCGTCTTTTGGATCTCTTGGGTCTCTTTTATCACACTCCCCCCCTCCGGCTTTGTCGTTGAAGGCTCTTCAGGGCTGCGCGATGCTTGGTCTCCTGGGCGGCTGGGTCTTCCCGGCGGCTGCCTGCCAAGCGCCCGAAAGCCAGGCGAGGTACGAGAACCTCTTCCAGAAACTCGACCGCAACCAGGATGGCCGAGTGGACATCGCCGAGCTGCAAAGCGGCCTTAAGGAGCTGGGCATCCCTCTGGGAGACGAGGCCGAGAAGGTGAGTGCCAGGCGCAAGGCTGGTTCCAGAGGAGGAGGGCGAAGGAGCATCTCTTTTCTGGATTCCGGAGCCCCCAAAAAGGAGAGTCTTGGAAACCCCAAAGGCTTCACTTATCTCAATGCAATGTAGATGTCATTTTTACAGCAGAGAGGCACGTGAGGGCATCAAATATGGTATAAGGAAATAAATGTAGAGAAAAAACATGGCCTCAACCCAATGAACAATACAACTCTTTCAAATCTCCAGGTGGAATGAATGGAGACCAGTGGAAGGAAGGAAGCATGGCCAGCTCTTTTCGTATAGAAGCCAAAACCTATTTTTTAAAATGTGTGTGTGTGTGTGTGTGTGTGTGTGTGTGTATGTCTGACTCTGTGTGTGTCTGTGTGTGTCTGTGTGTTTCCCTGGCTACATACTTGTTTCCCTGGCTCAGCTGATAATGAAGAGAAGCTTGTGGCTTAATAGTTAACACATCTGCCTAAGATGCAATACAGCACAGATTCGATTCCCAGTAAGGGTATAAGTAAGTAAGTAAGTATAAGTAAGTAAGTAAGGGTATATGGGTATAAGGGTATAAGGAAATAAATGTAGAGGAAAAGCATGGCCTCCCCCAATGAACAATACAACTCTTTCAAATCTCCAGGTGGAATGAATGGAGACCAGGGGAAGGAAGGAAGCATGGCCAGCTCTTTTTGTATAGAAGCCAAAACCTATTTTTTAAAATGTGTGTGTGTGTGTGTGTGTGTGTGTGTGTGTATGTCTGACTCTGTGTGTGTCTGTGTGTGTCTGTGTGTTTCCCTGGCTACATACTTGTTTCCCTGGCTCAGCTGATAATGAAGAGAAGCTTGTGGCTTAATAGTTAACACATCTGCCTAAGATGCAATACAGCACAGATTCGATTCCCAGTAAGTAAGTAAGTATAAGTAAGTAAGTAAGGGTATATGGGTATAAGGGTATAAGGAAATAAATGTAGAGGAAAAGCATGGCCTCCCCCAATGAGCAATACAACTCTTTAAAATCTCCAGGTGGAATGAATGGAGACCAGGGGAAGGAAGGAAGCATGGCCAGCTCTTTTTGTATAGAAGCCAAAACCTATTTTTTAAAATGTGTGTGTGTGTGTGTCTGTGTGTCTCTCTCTGTGTATGTGTGTGTGTGTGTGTGTGTGT